TGAGAGAATAGGAAGGTGAAACAGGTTTGATCTGGTGGTTGGTAACAGTGGGAGGAGGGAGGATATCAGGAAAGGGTAGGAGGTGAATATAGTGGAAAGATTATGTACTCATGTATATAAATAGAAAAATGAGCCCTGTTGAAACTGTTCCAGGAATGGGGGCAGGGGGAAAGGAAAATGATGAAAGGGTGAGTTCAAGTATGATATATTGTAAGAACTTTTGTAAATGTCATGATGTACTCCCAGCACAACAATAGTAATAACACAAAAATAAAAGAATAACATCGTAGAGGAATTGAGGAGAAACCAACACAGGAGACAGGGAAATGCTAAGAGGCAATATACAGGAAGTCAGTTTAAGTAGGTAGGAGAGGTAAGAGTGTTAAGAAGTGATCATCTGACCACCTGCCTTGAAATTGGGAAGAACGCCTTGTGGTGATGGGGAGTTTAGTAGACACAGTGACTTGAAAGAGAACTTTTGTGGGACTGAGGTACAAGGAAAGAGGACAGAATGCAAGGCAGCCACTCCAGGAGGGTGGCAGCATTGGTTGGGCATATACTCCCTGAGATCTGGCTCACAGGATGCAGGCAGGAGGAGGAGAAAGCTGTTCTCAGTTTTGTGTGCAAGTCTGTCAGGGTGGTCAGAAGGAAACAGAGAGAACAAAGGAAGATGGTAGCAGGGCCGGTGGAGGAGATTATTTAGATCTGGAAGGACTGGGGATCCTGGATGAGACATGAAGAAACAACCAGAGAATGTTTTAGTGTTTTAGGGTATTTGGGGATGCAGAGGAGGAGGCAGAAGGAAGTCTCCAAGCTCTAGTGAAGAGGGAACTAAACCACTTCATCCTGGTAGAGAACCTGGGATTTCCTACGTACTTTGAATACATGGCACGCTCCTTTCTGGTCTTTCTTCTCCATCTTTGTTTAGAGTCTCCCTATCATTCCAGTGCTTCCCCCAGGGGGCCTTCCCTGATTTAGACAGCTAGAACCAAGGGTTCTTCCTCCTCAGAATGTCCACAATGCATGTCTGTAACTTCTGGTTCCATGTCATGCTTTCCCCATGTAGCATATTTACTGGCATTTCCTCTGTCTTTCTAAGCTTTGCATATTTACAATTGTTTTAAATGATGGGGAGCCTGGGTTTAGTATGAATATCTGCCACTCTGTCATGTGTACAGAAAACTGGAGAGGGCGCAAAAGATCTGAGGATGAGATACTCCTCAGAGATTATTAACAAAAAACAATTTTGTTTATCTGTTTGCTTTACCATTTTCTTCATTATTTTGGTTCTAATTGTTGATTGCAAAAAGGAGGTAGAATTAAAATGATTTTACAAGTTTAAGAATTTACTTTGGAGGCTGAGATCGGGGCACTGCTGTTTGAGGCCAGCCTGGGCAAAAACCCTTATCCTAATCAATAAACTGGGCCAGGTGGCATGTGTCTATAATCCCAGCTAACACAGGAGGCAGTAGGTGGGAAGACTGTAGTCTGAGGCCAGCCCTGAACAAAAATCTAAGACCGTACTTGGAAAGTAACTGAAGTAGGCTGGGGGCATGATGTTTAACTTTGTAATCCCAGCTACTAGTAGGGCAGAGATGGGAAGCACTGAGGGTTGAGGCCAACCCCAGGCAAAAAAGTTCACGATGAGGGTATCTGGGGATGCAGCTCAACCAAGAGTTAGGCATAGGGGTGCACAGCTGTCGTCCCAGCTCTGGGGAAAGCATAAATAGGAGAATCTCAGTTCAGGCAGGCCAGGCATAAATCAAGATCTTATCTCAAAAATAACCAAGCTGGGGATACAGTTCAGGTGGCAGAGCACCTGCCTAGCATACTCTATTTCAAAGAGGCCTTGAGTTCAAACCCCAGTACAGTAATAATAAAAATACAATAGAACAAAATAAACCAAACAAGTGCTGGAGGTGTGGCTCAAGTAGTAGAATACCTGCCTAGCAAACATGGGGCTCTGAGTTCAAATTCAGTTACTGCAAAAAAAGTTAAGGATTTATAATTACTTAACACATATGAGAGAATTTATAAAGGTAAGTAAAACAACTTCAAGTAAGGGGCATTCACATGCTCACTAGTCTTTGAAAGACTATCTGGGAAAGATGGAGGACTAATCATATTAAATGACAGTTTAATCTCTGTTTTGCAATATAGCAATATAGCTTTTCCATCTTTTTTTCATATCAATTTCTGTCGTAGGGAAAATATTTGACTTAATTTTTAGGACAATCTGGAGGTTATCTGTAAAGTTCTTTTCAGTTCCCGTTTTTTTCTTCAAAAAGACATAGAGATTTGATAGTATGAATTTAGAGTTGAGTGTGTTAGTCTAAGTAATTTACTGAACTAAGTGAAGAAATATGATGAAAATAAAGGACTAAACAGACCATTTTTTTTGTGATCCAGGTTGATGTCACGTCATGTATAATGCAGCTGAAGCAAGCTTTCTTGTATCAAGTGATAAAACAAAAAGATTAGTATATCTCTTGGCTTGTAAAAGCAACATTTTGACTTTTATGTCTTGCTTTTAATAGAATTTTAAGAAAAGATGCATGATATATAGAATTTACATTCTTCTTTCTCACAAATTAAAATATAAATCATTGAGAAGTGTGTCTTCCATGTTTATGTTCCTATGTCTGGCATATGAGTTCCTGAAATGATGAAAGGTGAATGAATGAACAAATAAATGAATCATGAGAATTTAAATACATTTTATTTGAATATAATAGAAAAATTGTAAAGTAAAACTATAAGCCAGAATGACGGTATTACATGAATGTAATATGTAAACATCCGTCCTAGATACTGTGTTAAATGTAAAGACGTGCAAGCAGAAAACTTGCACAAAATGGGATGGGTGGCTTGGAGACCCCAACTTCTGAAGGAGAAGTTATAGAATATTGATAAAAGTATCTAATGGTAGAAACATAGTATTCAGATTAGTCTTTGCTCTAAGCAGATGAGTTTTAGTGTAAAGGCTTTTAATGTGTACAGGAATCCATGAGGCAGCATTTGTTCTTTTATTACCCTGAACTCTAGAAAAAACGATTTTGTATTTAAGAGCAAGGCTAGTGGTAAAATGAAATATCAGCAATAATTTTTTCTCGAACATTGTTCAAGGATATCTAGATTTTATAATTTAGTTCCAATCACAGTGCTAAGACAGAGATATTAAACTAAAAGGTATTTAGTTATTTAATTTCATGAAGAAAATATCATAGAAACAGAGTATTTCACTCTATGTATAGAATCTAATCACGTGGAACAGTGACTGTATTTGATTTTATTCCACAGAAAGAATTTATGCTATCCAACTTGGGACTATTCTACTTAGGCTAATAAGTTCACTTCCATGATTTGGAGTTCTCACTAATTAGGGTGTAAATTGTTGGTTGAGGGCATTTTGTAATTCTTCATGTAGTATCTAGCTTCTTCTTTTGATAATGTGAAGAAAGAGGGGGCCAAGACCTCCAAAGACATTAAATCCTTGTCAAATGATGCTTACAAAATTGTAACTGAGATATAAGTATCTCTGTGTGCACCCTGATTTACAATAAAAGCAATTGTTAGCTCTGTTGGCTTTGTTCTTTAATTTGGGAAACCAAAAAGATGATAAAGAGAAAACTGACAAAGACACAAATTGGACTTTGGAGAGCCTCAGCCATCTGACACATTGCCGTGACCAAGACGTGATGGGGAAAATACTCATCACCACTTACAGGCAGTGCAAGCTCACAGGGACCCCAAGCCAAGTGCCCTGCAAAATCTAAAAATCATACCCAAGACAACAAAAAGCATGTAGAGAAAATCCATGCTGGCATACATTATTATCTTTATTTATTTGCTATACTGGAGATTGAAACCACTAAGCAAATGCTGTACCACTGAGCTACACCTCCAAATTTGGCAAATAGTTTTTTAAAGCACTGTTCACAAGCAAGGATTTAAGAAATGTGTGTGTGTTACATATATACATATATACATAAATATAATAATCATATATATGTAATCAAATATATATTTGATCAGGATGATTTCTGAGATGTTTATATGTGTGTCACACACACAATGAGGTGGCAGGAATTTTTAATAGTTGAAGAGACTTTAAATATTTGCAATATTTCTACTACCAAAACTCATATAAATAATTCTTCAATGATAAAGTATAAAGGGAAAAAATGTAGGATCTTGAGTTGAACACTTCTGTGCTCCCTTTATCCTACATTATTACGTCAGCATTTGAGAGAATCAGGGCAGCCTAGGATCCGGTAGAAGACTGCTTGTTCTAAGCAGCCTTTACCCCACCTCAAGGTTAAAATTTCGGCATGTTTCCACTGGGTGAAAGATTGCATACATTAATGCCATCAAGAACTACTTTAACTTGCACAGCTGACTTAGGAAATGTGTGACTAGGCTTCCAAATTGGAATCCCAGGTGCATTTACAGGGGCCGCCTCATCTCTCCACCACTTACTGCTTTTCATCCCCTCACTTCCTCCATTATCAACACCACTTCATCACAGGCAGCTGAAGTTTCTGTTTCCAAATCAAAAGCCCTTGCAGAATAGTCCTGCTTAAAATGATGGGACATAGAAATGTGGATGATATGGTGAGTCTTTCATTTCCATTTTGATTAAGTGAAAGCCTCTTAATTTGGGTCATTATCAATATATAAATCTGTAGAGAAAGTAAACGTGCATTTATAATGGACCCAGCATTACATGATTTATCGTCCTGATAATAAGGTATAAATACTGAAAGAAAAGAAAATGGAGTGTAGTTCTTAGGTTCCCCTGGACAGAAATACTGCCAGGTACTAATGGAGCAAACAGCTGCTGAGCGGCCAGCCTCCTGCTCGCCACGCTCACGTCTCCTTTTATCAACTGAACTTGGTCTCCCATCTTAAAAGCTGTCAAATACAAATCTGGCTACTCTGACCTTTCTGTGGAGGGTTTGTGTGTGACAAAATGAAAGGCTCAAAATGGGTCTCCATACCTGATTGTGGACTTTGTTTGGGGATTTTGGCTACCACTTGCGGGCTGGAGGTGGAGTGCGTTCGTTGGTTGGCAGAGCTGTGGATGCTGCTGGGGACAGCTGCTGAGATGTTCTTGCGAGGCTTCATATCTTGCAGCCACATGGGTGAGGCTTCGAAAGCCTGCATCCTCCGAGCATGGCTGTTGGCATTGACTTTCAGATAGGCCTGGGCCTTGTGTTCTTGCAACTCCCCATAATTGGCATCAGTCACCCTGCACTCATATAAACCTTCATCCTTTTTCCTCACTTTGGAAATCTGAAGCTTGTGGGAGATGTCATTGCCTTGGACTTTCACTGTCTGAAAAATTGCAGGTAAGAAAACAAAGTACTACGTCAAATGACTGTATTCCCATTCTTTATCCCAAGCTTGCTGATGATGGAAAATTAAAGGGCTTTAAATGGCCCCATAGCCAGAATCAAGGGGCTTTTTGTTTCTTTAACATCAGATCAGAAGGTCTTATTTATCCTATTCTGGTAATAACTGCATTCACAACTCAGGGGATAATTAGTTCAATCCAGCCAGTGCCAGAGCAGGCAGGCAGTCAGCATTCCCAGGTTGCAAAAGCAGCGGTACCATTTTCTCACCATGGGATTGGCCTCTGCCTGGTTAGCTCAGTTGAGCTCAGTTGAATGAAGCATAAACCAATGAGGTGAACTGTATAGTTAATAGCAGGCTTTTCTTCATTGTGGGCTACAAATCTGGGAAATCACAAAAGTATTTTGTTGGTCTTAACAGTTTAGGTGGGGATATACTTTATTGTCACACTGGGATGACTACTAAAAGTACTGCTAAGATAGACTGGATATTAATGCATTTTTCTTCCAATTTTTTATGCAGCTTGCCAATAGCCATAAGGTGGTAGGGCTTAGAGTATAGATGAGTGTCACTGAACGTTTTATGGCTCAAAGCCTATACCCCATGTCACTGTAGGAACTTGGGATGTCATCAGTTAAGCACTGATTTGATTTTCAGCATTGAAGCTGACTTTTTATTTCTTCTAATAATTTTTATTCCAGATTAATCACAATATATCTAACATATATTAAATATATAATATGTAACACATATGATAAGTATCATCGCAACAGATTTGATATGTAGCATGTGATATCCATTATTAACAGAAGGACAGATTTCTTGAAGAAGTCAAGATTTAAGGATCTGGTTGATTTTGAAAGAGAGAAAAAAAGCAGTGAAGGAGGAGGCAGAAAGATATTTATTCTGCCAACAACCACTGCACTTTCAAATGGCCATAAGTAATTAAGAAAACCTGAGAAGTGTTCATTTGTACTTTACACAAAGGTGTGTTTAAGTGTATGACAAACAGTTTCCAATGTTTGGACCATAATTGTAAGTAGGTATTTACGTGAATGAAAAATTGCATATAAATATACTAATCCTCTAAAATAGTGGAAGCAGTTCTACATATATTCCCGGCTACATCTCCTAGCAGTGGAGGTAGGGAGACCATCACTGTGTGTACTATTGGCCCACAGCTTAGGAGCAGACCACAGCTTAGGAGGTTTGAGTCAGCGATTCTCAACACTGACTACGTTAGAGTCATCTGGAGAGTGGTTAAAAAATACTTCCACTTGGATTAGTGCAGAGATATTAAGTCTTCATTGCAAGGGAGTGGAACTTTATCTCTTACAAAAGTTTCCCAGGAATTCTACGCAATCATTGCTGGTTCGAGGTTACACAGTGGGTACAGTGAGAACAATTACCTCCTGCCCCAGCATGTTCCCAGAACTCTTGTCAACTCCTTAGATTTGACAAACCAATGACATGGCTAATGTTCGTAGCAGTTGTGTGTGATTACTGGACTTCAGGATGACTCAGGCAGGGTGTACGCTGGAAGACTTATGGTCAACCAGAAATCTACTAATTACATGGATTAGCAGAAAAATAAACTACTTAAGAAAAGCACTGTTCATTGATTTCACCAAGAAGGTTTTCCTAGTTTCTAATTGTCTAGTTTCTATGATAAATAACTGAAATTGAAATATTCTAAAATGTCAGTGATTTTATGAATTAGAAATTGGAGTTTCTGATTTGTATTTCATCTTTGCTTGCCATTTCTTCCATGTTGAGATTATACAGTTTTGAGCACAGATTTTGATTCTGCATACAGTCCATTTTTATATTTTTAGTTATGATGTAACCTCAGTCTTATACCCCTGAATGCTGTAATAAGGGCCTCAAAATGTCTTTTTTAAAATGTAGATCATTGGAGTTTTAGATTTCTAAAAACAAATGTACAAATGTAATGTAAACAATGTATTAGCGCTCAGAAGGTTTTCTACTTTTGAATATATAACTATTTCATTTCTAGGAGTGATTAAGTAATATACTTTATACGACTTAATTTGAGGTATAATGATAACATTTTCATTTTTCTCATTTCCACACAAATAATTTTAGTAGTTTCAATAGGCTAATCAGAAGGTTAATAATGGCTTTAGATTTAAATTTGCTTTTGATTTTATACTTTTATGATTTGAAACACCAGCGTCAGAAACACAATACATGCATCAAAATGATATCCCAAATCGAATCATTTCATTGCATTACGATTTCAAAATCTTGTTGGATGTTTGGTAAGATTTTTATATGCTACCGTTTTGCTTTCTATTAAAGGATAGTTATTTCCGTAATTTTGAACAGATATTAGGACTGCAGCTTCTTCCTCTTACACTTACATAACTGTTATAAAGAGCAAGAAAAGTGTCATACAACCTTCTTGGATAGCAAAATGGTTCTCTATCAATTTTTAAATATTTACATGATTAAAGCATATCATTTTATTTATAGACTAAATTTGCTTACATTTTGATGTACCTAATGAGGTAAGAGAGAACTGGCCTTCATCCTGTCTTTGCAAAACTGCCTTTTTCAGGGGCAATAAATTCAAAGGTTTCGAAATCTAAAACCCATATCATTTAACACAATGTTCACCTTGGGCCTGCCCAGAAACTTACTAAGGCACGCGCCCCCTGTCGCCTGTCCCTGTGACACTCACACTGATCTTGGTCCCGTCGTTGTCCGGGTCTCTGTCGGGTAAGAACTCCACCTGCCGGACAAGGATGCAAATGCTCGCAAGGGCCGGGCTCCTTCATCTCCCCGCTCCGCAGCCGGGGCGCCCAGCGGGACCCGGCCGCTTGGTGGGCAAACACCGCGAATCCGGCGACTTGGGAATAAGAGCCCCGCAGCTAGCCACGGCCACCCACGCTGCGCCGCTGCACCCTGCTGTCTCCCACGCAGTTCCCACGTCCTCTCCCCCGCTCCCGCACCGTGGTCCCCGCGCCCACCCCCGCGGTGCGGTCCCGAGCCGGGGCTGCGCTCCGGGAGGCGGGGCCGGGGCTCCTCGCAGTGGGATCCGTGGGGACTGCGGGTTCCGGGAAGGGTAGGGACATGGACAAAGGTGGGCGGGCGCGTGAGTGTGGGTGGAAGTTTTCAGGGACCAATTTCTCCATCTTTGGCGGGGCTGCTATCCCGTCCCCGGGTCTCTTCTACAGCTTCTCCTTTTCTCTCTTCGTCACGGCCGAGACCTCTTTGGCTCCGCTGTCTCCCCTCTCCACTCTGCCCCTCTTCACTCTATTTTTCTTCTCCCTCCTTCCCCTCTCTTTGGATCCCCATTTCCTTCTTTTCTTCCGCGTCCTTTTCTCTCTTCTCCCCTCCCCCGTCCTCCCCTATCTCCTCTCTGCTCCCATCCTTCCCGAGCCTCCAGCGCTTCTTCCCTTCTTCTCCCTCTCCCACTCCCCCTACCCCTACCCCCTTCTTTCTCCTCTCTCCCTCACCCCCTTCTCTTTTACTCTGCTTTCCTTCCTCCCTTCTTTTCTCTCCCTCCTATGCCTTTGTCTGATAAGATATATCTGATAAGAAATAGCTAGAAGGGAAGGGGGAGTGGAGGATTCCCTTCCTCCATCCCATAGTCTGAGAACGGATCGGCTCGGCGGATGTCCTGGGTGTTCTGGGCACAGTAAGGCCATCATGGGCAATAACTACTACTAAGAGCAGGAGGTTATTCCCAGTTTAACCGGAAGAGATCCAGTAGTATGACTTCCTTGATAGCTTTAACTTAATGTCACCAGGACAAGTCCAGGCGTGCTCCCTTGTATCTCTGGGGGTCGCTCACTCCCCAAAAGCCAGGAGGGTCCCCCCGGGGATGCGCAGGCAGCATCTGGGGCCGTGGCCCTTGGTTGGACACGCAGGGAACAGGAGAGTGAGTAAGAGAGAGACAGGGGCTCTGCGGGCTGGGCGACTCCACTACCTGCGCGCCAGCTGCCTCGGCTCCGGGCTCCAGGTCCTCGGGTCCCCGTAGGAACCACCACTGGATCTCCAGGTACACCGAGGCGGAACCGCTCTGGAAAGCGCAGGACATCTCCACATTCTGTCCCTCGGTCGCCGTCACATTCCGCGGAAACTCCGTAAATTTTGCTGCAAAACAGAAACGCATTGTTGTTTGCTTATCTACCGCAATCTCGTCAAGTCTCTTTCCTGGAGAGCACGCTATATTTTTTTTTCTAGGACTTGGGGGACAAAGCCCAGCAACAACAACCCGTCCATGACATACTGACTTGGGTTCGCCAACCCCCTTGCTTTCCCCTTGCCTGCTTATTTTTGTTATCATCAACATCACTCTGTCGATGATCAAGTCCAGCTAACAGAAAGGTTAACAAGGTTGCCAATAAGCTCTCTGTTACTCAAGCTGTCCAGAGTTAGATCCAAACACCTTTTGTCAGATTGCAGTATTCCACAAAACTTACTTAGAGATTCAGTGAGGTACAATTTAGACCATCTGTCAGGCTGATATATGAGGAAAGCCTTTTGGCTCTAAGTTTCTAAACAACCTATGACTAACTGGATGTTTCGTGCTTCATGATTAGCTGTGAAGATGCACATTCCCGATCCAGTGAAACGGTGGTTAGCAGCTGTGTTCCGAAGCCTACAGTAGGGAAGCAAGTTGCAGACTTCCTAAGCTGTGTATAGTTTTCTTCTCTCCACCTTAACCTTCAAATTTGTTCTCAGAAAGTCATTGTATAGAAATTTGCCATATATTTTAGCATGCAACAATAACACTAATCCAGGTTCAGATTAACGATTATTTGGAAGTCACTACAGAGAATTTGTTGAGCCTTTTCATTGCTAACCTTGACTCTGACAGTTTGTAAGAGTCATAGGTCCATGGTAAAACTCACAAAAATAAAATGTCCCTTTCTTCCTTAAAAGCAGTTGTTGAACATGAAATGCTCTTACCTTGTTAGCAACATGGTTGTTCTTATCTTGTCTAAGGCACATTTTGCAAAGAGATGATGGTTCCCTAAAAGGAGTATTAGATTTGTGTCTGATGGAAGTGACAGCCCCCAGGCACACTTATGGAGAAGAAGAGAGAGGGGGGATGCAGAAATGATTTAGGATAGGGGTTCTTTCCCCTCTCTTCTTAAAGATAGCCACTCTCTTTTTGAAAAATTTATGAAATACCCTCATTGATCTCTGGTGAAATGGAAGTGTGTTTGTACTTAAGGGAAACAGGAGGCATTAAGAGGACAGTCTGATCTGAAAAGGACTTTTTTTCTCAAACTGGAAGGAGGAGTAGGGCATTTCTGTTGGTAGAAGTGATGCAGTCTTCTGGCAGCAGAGATGTGATCTGTTCATGGTGCTGAAGCGACCACTGCAGCCTTCGAAGTCCCAAACAACTGGGTTCAGCGGCTGCTGCTGCTCCTAATGCAAGTCGTGCCTTTTTTGTGTGTCCTCAGAGGAGTCTGTCCTTCCATCAATACACATGCAAACGAAGTCACACGGCCCTAGGAACGGGAAACTCAACCCTTCTGCTTACATGGTGAAAGAGGACTGGCAGTGGAAAGTCCCCATAACCAGCTTGGTGTTTGTGATGATTATGTATGCACGAGCGGTTACCCTGTGCGTGCACACAGAAAGCACACACACACACACACACACACACACACACCCTGTGCATGCACACAGAAAGCACACACACACACACACACACACACTGTGTCCGTGGTCACCGAGAAACTGACCTTCTTGCCAGGGACCAGATTTCCTTTGAAACCTAGCTTGCCTGCGATTCAATAAACTTTAAAGAAAAATGTTAAACAGAACGATGCTAACACACCGAAACCCACTGTTACTTGCTGGGGGTTGCGCTACCGGTGCCGTCCATTCTCGAGTGTAAGGCGCACGCACACGCACACACACACACACACTCACAAATGTGTGCGTGTGACCCAGCGCAGACTTACCTTGAGAAGAAAGCCCTTGCTGTACATAGAAAACGGAAAAGAAAACAAATCCAACAGACACCAAAAAGATCCCCATCATTCCACAAGGAGGGGGGTCACATCCGTGTCGCTGCCAGCAGAGAAGCCCTGAAGAAGGGGCGCCCGCGGGTCCGAGGGCTGTCTCAGAGCCCCGCGCGCCTGGCTGCGCGCATCCTGCGGTTCCGGGGCGGACGGCTGGCTTCTCGGTGGCCGAGGCTCAGAGCCACCGGCCGGGATCCCTGGCGACTTCCAGCGCGGAGCCGGGCTGCAGCCCCGGGCTGTCGGCCGCGTGGCCGGGGCTGGCGCCGCCTGGCAGCTGGCCGCACGTCAGCCCGCGCCCGGCTGGCGTCCACTGCCCTCCGCGAGCGCCGAGCCGGCTCGGGAAGCGGGGAGTGGGCAGGGGGCGGGCGCGAGGACTCGGCGGCTCGCGCGGCGCCGCAACTTCTCCCTGCGCGGGCTGCGCGGCTGCGCGGGCTGCGCGGGCTGGCCTTAACTCTCTGCGCGCCGGACGCCTCCCCAGCCGCGGGCGCCCGGCCTCCGCCGCGCCCCGCACCGCGCCCCGCGCTCCCGCCGCCGCCTCGGCCCCCATCGGCTCCGCGGCCCCGGCTGCGCGGCTCCGGGTGGCGTCGCCCGGCGCTCGGGGACAACGCGGATGCAGGACTGCGGCGTTGGCTGGGGAAGGCGCGGGAGCTCGGAGGAGGAAGTTAGGCTTTGTGGAAGACGGGGGAGGAAAGGCGCGGGGTGGGACAGGCTGCTTTGGGGCCGTGAAAACAGCCATTTGAGGGAAATGTGGCTTAACCAGTTATTAACTGCGCTAACTGGGAGGATCACATGGTGGTGTTTCACAGGCACCGATGGCAGAGCAGCCGCCAGTGGAAGACAAGGATTCAGGCAGGCACCATATCACTCCATCACTCCGGCTGGCAGTGGAAGACATAAAAAGTAGCAAAAGTCACGTGTGGAGAGAATCTTCCAGAAGGAAAAGCCCACCATACTGTTGCTTTTACTCATGAACCCCCTTCCTGAGGAGCCAAAGAGGATTTTTGTTACTGTTGTTCAGTTTTTTTTCTTTTGCATAACAATAATTACGTAATGTTCCCCAGGATTATATGTATTACTTTAGGTACAAAAAAAAAAAAACAAAAAAAACAGCGAGTTTCAGAATTCAAGAAATCTAATTGTATGCCCCAGGGAAGCTTGAGATGTATAGTCTTTCATTAAGAATCTAAAGAACAGTGTATGGCATATTAGAGTCTGTCTGTCCTTACAAATTCTAATCATTAGTGAATTTAAATCTCAACAGTAACGTCATTTGCTATGTAGAGAGTAATTTTTAAAAATCTGATTACTATGCCTATGTAAGTATCCTTTGACTCTTCAGTTCTAGTTGGAAATATGAGTTAGTTTTAACAGTGCTGTCAGGAAACCAATGCAGTATGTGTGTTTTCATTTTACAGACAAAAGAATTTTTAGTTGACGGATGTCTTTACTGACCAGAAGCAATTAACCATCGTTGTTGGATTTTTAACCACTTGTATTCTGTTCCGAATGCCACGGTAACTTAGAAGATCAGACAGCAAAGACACAACAACTTCATAAGAGTACAACTTATTTTCGGAACATATGTTTATTTTCCACCGTGGGTAGAGGCACAATAAGAGCTTTGGAGACAGTCATGAGGAATACTTTACATCTGTTCGTGATTAGGCCAACCTGTCTCTTACCTCCTCCTCATAGTCAGCATACACATGCACACACAAAAAGGATTTTGAAGTTGGTCATTCCTAGAAGTCTCTTTTTGTTCAAAGTCTCTCTCCTGGAGAATGTGTTAAGTACACAGAAACACAACCCAAGTGGACTTACTCCATACTCGATTTTGAAACAAGCAAGGAAACATTGCAGGTATTAGATATTTAAAGGTTACACTTTAAATGTTCTACCCAACAGGATGTGTGCAAAATGATTACAGGATTTTTGTAATCAACATTCTGCATAATACGACTTTAGCGTGTCCTCAGTGACCCGCCTTCACATTTATCTGCTGTTAGGAAGAAAAGGGCATCCATTTTGAGCAAGAGAAGTTTTGAATTCATTTAGCAAAGTACTTCAGCTGCTTTAAATGGAGAATCTGATTTTTGTAACTGTAAAAGTATAATAAAAATAAGTTCAAAAGTGTAAAACAGAGTGAGGAACGGTAAGACAGAGAAGTCATCGAAGTATTTTAAACAGAACATTATAAGTTTCAAAGCTAGGAAGGAAGGAAAGAAGGAGGGTTGAATAAACATTTGTTCTTCTTATGAGAATAATCTGATCAGTATTTTACTTACAGTTTTGCAAAGGTTGGCCAAAGTATTTTCTTAAATATCTGTTTATATCATCTCAAAGACTTATCAATAGTGCTGGTAAACACATTTACATTCTCTTCTTTAGAACGTTTACCTTATTACAGACAAAATATTTCCATATTAGCAATTCAAAATAATAAGAAAATTTAATTTAAAAGTAACTATATCAATTGGCACTTTCTGGGATATAGTCCCATTATTTTAAAAAGTCTTTGTAAAGCATTATATTGTCCTATAAGATTGGAGATAACCTATCAGGAAAGATGACTTATCTACAGCCAGATATGGGAGAAATATTTTCTGACCATTTCTTCTGTTCCCCAAATGATTGCTGATGTCGGATCTTATAAAAATGATTGCAAATCTCTTCTTTAAAATACCTGTCTATGAACTATTCTTCCAAAAATAAAATACTACCATGTCACTTTTTTTAAAAAATTATTTTTTTTGCCCTCTGAATTAACTTTTGGCTATTTGCTTTTTAAAACTGCAAACATCTGTGTCAAGACAGTTGTTTTTCCTCTAAAATATGCTCCTTTCTTAGACATTATTTAATCTGTTCCAATCTTCCCACATCTTATTTAGATTGCATTTATTCATTTTTGCATATTCAAATTGCTCTACTTCCTCTTTCAAACACAGGGTTTTTGTTTGTTTGTTTGTTAGGTTGGTTGGTTTTTTGTTTGTTTGTTTGTTTGTGATGTGTGCAGGCCTCTACTTACATAAGCTTTCAGAGCTATTGATCCATCAACAGCCAACTGGAGGAAAAGGTCTTTATGCTCTGTGATGATGGGCTATATTATTTCTTTCTCCTAAGAGGGATGCAGGGGCATTTTCCATCTTGAACTTAGGAGGAATCACCGCATTTCACTCCCATAGGTTCATAATAGGTTGACTTTCCATATCACAATTTCAAAAATTGTCCTAAATTGAGGCTTACTTGCCAAATGTAAACTTAAAAACAAAACAAAATAAAAAAAACCTGAGCGATTGGAAGCCACAAAAATAGATACTTTCTTTACGAGTAGACATTAAAATATTTAAAATATCCACCTCTAGAACTGGAAGATAATCCTTGTGGATCGGCTTCCTTTCTGTGCAGCTCTTGCAGGCATCTTACTGGCTTAGCAGAACTCTATGCTTTCCATCCTTGTCCCTGCAGGTGCATTCTTTGTGTTCTTGAGCATTTTCTTTGGAGATAGTCAAAACTGCATAAGAAAGAATATTTCAGGGTACTGAGAAAATTTTTCACTCACAATCTCATGGCTGGTTTAATTTATTTCTTACTCAGGAAAATAAAAAGAAACATTACAAAGTCTAAATGTTGAAGCAACATAAAACATTCACAGAGAAATTTTATTTCAACTGCAAAAAGTAAGAGTCTGAGAGAAAGTCAGAAACTCATATTCATCAAAAATGAACTTTAAAAATTTGTTTTCCAGCAAATTCTATAAGCCAGTGCATGTCACATTATGTCTCCTCTTCATGTGACGATTTCAAAGATAAAGTCAAAGACATGTGTAGTGACAGAAGAAGCAATGATGGACCAGTCATAGCCTGTTACTTATGTCACAAAAACAAATGGACATCTTTAAGATGGTTCTGAAGAGAAGCATACAAAAGTCATGCCTATAGATTCAAGCCTTTGACTCTAAATTTTCTGAGAAAATATATAAAACAAAATTAATCATACTGAAATTCTTTCATAGACACTGGCAAACAAATAACTTGCAATCCCAGACTCTCAAATAGTCCTCAAATTTGCTCAACAGAATTTCTTGTCTTATATCTTAAACTTTATAAACAATTTATTCAGAGTGGTCTCTGGGAGTGATCAAACTTTTTTTTTTTTTGAGACAAGTTCTCCCTGTGTAGCCAGGCTGGACTCAAACTTGAGAACCTCCTGCCTCAGCCGCCCAAGTGGCTGTGCTGCCATACCCAACTTGTGATCAAACATTTTAAATAGGCAGGTGGTTGCCCATTTGCATGACTATTTCATTTTCATCTTCTGATGGTATGTATCCCTTTATCTTTTCCTTTCCTATATGACAGAAATATAAATTACTTAGATCTTGCTTTTTATGTTGTGCAACTCTGTTTAACTTTGTAATTGAAGTTCATGGACTTAGGACTCAAATTATTCCTGAAGTCCTGTTATGTCATTTTAAAAATGTAATGTCTGGCCTAGAGGTGACCTCTGGAAAAATCAAAGTAAAGCCTCACATTTACTGTAAAAGTTAATGTCACAATTTGCTTACATGCCTACTACAAAACCCAGGGATCCTTCCATTCACTTTTTTTCTTGTTTAGAAATTACAGTGAGCTTATGATCAAATGTAGGTCTATTCATTTCTTCATTAACAAAAAACTTAACATCTCTTAGCCAAAAGGTCTATTCCAAGTAAGAAAAGCTGGGATGCTGTAGTTGAACTTATTGTCTGTGGGTGATTTCCTCTTGCTTCAAAATTATAATGCAGATCTGTGATATTTATTAACTTTAATATATGCTTTTTCTTTTAACAATCCCATGGGTTTGGTTAGACATGAATAACTGGTGTCTACATTTGTATTTGTATAGCAGAAGATAATTATTTGGAAAAGGAAAGCAAAAAACACAAGAAAAACAGCATTTTTTTGTAGAGTATAATTTCTAAGTTTGTCTGTGGTTCTATGCTTATATTTACAGCATGAGTGAAAATAAATATTAAATGCTTTTGAAAAATCTTTCACAAAGCAAAGCAATTTATCAACGAGTCTTCTCTCTCTCTCTCTTTTTTTTTTCAGAACTGGAGACTGAACTCAGGGCCTTGACTTGCCTACCAAATGCTCTGC